TTGAGTGGTTATGGCCCCGGTGGTGGAGGCAATGGAGGTTGTATGGGTAAGGACGGCGTGGACGTGCTAGAGCATAACCACCAACATAAAGTCCTGACAACAGCATCTGGTCTGCTAGACTTTCTTACCAATTTAATTTCTTTTGTATTTTAAGAATTTTATAATGACCGAAGGAATGTGTTTTCAAAATATTATTTGGTGAAGCAGCAGATTGGGATGGGAAAATCGGTTTTCTGTAGGTTTTATTTGTTGCATACTTAGACTTAAAAATAAATTTTTATATTAAAAAAAAAGTCTCCTTCCCACCTTTGTTTTGTTTCCCCCTACACCAACTTCCCTCCTCAGGGGCATCATTAATTCCAATTTCTGGAGTCTTTCCAGAGACCTTTGCATGTACAAGGATATATATGTGAGAATACATATACATCTGTGTGTGTGTGCATGTGTATATATATGTATATATACACACAAATTGTTGTCCTTTTTTAAAAAAACAAACGGCAGTTACAATACATGCTATTCTGCACTTTCCATTACCACTTATTAATTTAGTATCTGGGCTGGATGGCACCTGGGCAGGGATGGGTGAAATATGGAACAGATGGCACTTGGGGGACAAAATGAGTCAGAGGCCTGCCCCGTTGGCCTGGGGCTTTTCCGGCAACGTCCTCTTTAAAGCAGGCCCCTCCGTGCCCTGTGTCAGGAGGGAAGGCCATGGTGCTGACCCCGGGTCCAGCTTGGTTCTGCCTCTCAATCTTGCCTGCCTATTGCAATCACCTAGACAGCCCCTTTAACATTTGCCCGGAAGCCTGGCCCCCTCCCCAGAACAACTGAATCAGAATCTCTGGAGCTGGTACTGTTTGTAAAACTCCCCTGGTGACTGGAATTGCAGCCAAGGCGGAGAGCCCCGGGGTTAGGTTACAATCCATGGAGGAAAGAGCTTGAGACTGGCCATCTGGAGGTGTGGTTTCCTCTAAGCTTCTGGCTCTGAGGCCTGGGCCAAGTCACATGATCTCTGAGAACCTCAGTACCTCTGTCTCTGAGCCAGAGCCAGTAATACCCACTGCCTGGCATACCTCACAGGATTGTGATGAGGATCAAATGCATAAGCGCCCTGGGAACGCGGAGACACTCTGATGGGAGGGAGAGTCGGTCACATCAGGTGCATTGTCTTGGGTTACTCCACTAGTTTGACTCAGCTGCAGGCACTGCTCAGGCTCCCCAGGGACTTTCTGCTTCGCCCTCAGGCAGGTCCGCCTCCCGTGACGTTTGCTGGAATCAGTCTATTCTCCCACATCTGGTGGCCGGGCCATATGTCTCTCCTTTCTAGGGGCCTGAGGAAAGCTGGACTCCTCCTGACTAAATTACGGGGATGGCCAGCCAGGGTGGTGCAGCCCTCTGAGGGCTCATCAGACCTCTGGGGCACCTGTGTGGTCTGAGAGAGCACGTTCAGTATTGCACTTACACATTTGGAAGATGATGGGGCACACGGGGCAACAAAACTACTCTGATTGCTTTCCAAAGTCAAATCTCAGAAAGTAAAGCCGGGGGGTGGGGGGTGAGGGGGGTTGAGGGGGGAGGGGCCCGGGGGGAGGTTGGGATGACAAAGTGGAGGTAGAAGAGAGACCGGGGAGGAAGAGAAGGGGCAGGGGACCATTACGTTTCTTCAGGGAGGTAGGTTTAAGACGGGTGAGCAACACCTCACCAGGGCACCTTGTTCTCAGGTAGTAGAACCCGAGAATCCAGACAGCTGGGCTGCCCGCCCACAGGAGCTCCGGGGAGCCTCTCATGTAACTCACGCTCAGACCTCGCTCGGCAGAGGGGCCCTGCTCTGTTCACTGCTCAACCTCTCCTGACCCGTCGTCCCTTCCCATCCCTTCCATCATCCTTCTCAGGGCTTCCCCACCACGCTCAAGGGCTGCCTGCCCTGGCACTGTCCTCTGGGCCCCCCAGGGACACAGGGCCTCAAACGGTGCTGTCTTTAGCTTTTCTCCACTAAGGAACTCCGTATTTTTAGAATTTGCAGAGTGAACACACTGTATTTTGTAGGGAACAATTGAGTTTTCCATTTTAGTCGAAGATTCCTTATCCTGGGATTATCATGCATCTCCTTTTCACTGTCCTGACTCTCCCCACTGTAGTCCTCCTTGCTTGCTCTATCCTGGCCTGTAACACTACCTATGAGCATGCTATCTTGTGTTTATTTATTTTTTTTGGTGAGGAAGATTGGTCCTGAGCTAACATCTGTGCCAATCTGCCTCTACTTTATATGTTGGATGCCGCCACAGCATGGCTTGATGAGTGGTGTGTGGTCCACACCTGGGATCTGAACCTGTGCATCCTGGGCCACCGAAGTGGAGCATGTGAACCTCACTGCTATGCCACCAGGCCATCACCTATCGTATTTATTATCTGTCTCCCATCACCAGAACACAGGCTCCATGAGGGCAGAGAGTTTGTCTGTTTTGTTCACTGAGGTATCCCCTAGTGCCTAGAAGAGTGGCTGGTACCTAGCAGTGCTCAGTGAGGATCTGGTGAAAGAACGACAAGAAATGCACATACTTTTGACCATTTGGCTGTGAGGTTCATGGGGCAGGGGCGATACCCACGATGTTTACCCCAAATGTACTCAATGCCCAGCACAGGGCCTGGGACAAAGTGGGTACTTCATAACCGTTTGTTAATGTGTAGCCCAGCATACCATTTCTAGGAAGTGATCCTATAGATAGGCACACACAGTGCATATTAAGTACAGATATTAAGTGCATACTAATTAACATTAATTGCAGAATTTTTGCAAAAACAAAACTACTGGAGACCAAGACACCCATCACTGGAAGGCTGGGGTTAAGGTCGTACTCCACACACTGGAGTGCCAGGCAGCTATGGAAAAGAAAGAGGATGTGTGACACACAGGAGATTAAATATAATGGCCCGTTCTCCACCAAACAGAACAGTTTTTTGTTGCTGAGACCTGAGAGAAAATTATTCTGAGGGTCCTTCTAACAAAAAAAATGATTCCAACATCTTTCCTATACAGATGTAATATGAAGTTTTATGAAAATGATATCATATTTTGTACGATGTCTCTCAAACTAGATGGTTGACAAGTAACTGAGGCAAGGGTCTAGAAAGACCTAGATACCATTTCTCAATTGGTCTGTTGACCATGATTGGACATTACACAGATCAAGGTTCTGATTTTTGGAAAGAATTTGAAGCATAGTAATTATTCTTTATTGCAGATTAAGAGCAGATTTATGTGATATGAATATTCAACTGGACAATGGGTAGGAAAAAAGTCATCTGAATTGTCACCAAAACGGGAGAGGCGACAATGCATTATTACTGCAGTTCTCTGCTTTTTTTCGCCCCAGTGTTGGACTAACAATTTCCTTTTGGTAAATGGAATATGCACATGGATTTCAAATGAAGGTAGAAGAGATTCCAAATTTACTCATCTGGGTTAAAAAAAAAGGAGGCAGGTGTACACATACTGATTCAGAAAAGTGTCCAAGATACATTGTGAAATGAAGAAAGCAGAGTTTAAGAAATCAAGGTGCAGAACAGTATGATCCTACATATACAAACTAAAATGAAATGTCTTTGTATATGTCTAGTTTAAGAAACTATTTACGGGGCCAGCCCAGTGGCCGAGTGGTTAAGTTTACATGCTCCGCGTTGGTGGCCCAGGGTTTCACCGGTTCAGGTCCTGGTTGTGGACATGACACCACTCATCAGGCCACGCTGAGGCCGCGTCCCACATGCCACAACTAGAAGGACCCACAACTAAAAATATACAAGTATGTACTGGGGAGACTTGGGAAAAAAAGAGAAAAATAAAATCTTAAAAAAAAAATAGAAACTATTTTACAATAGTAACCCCTAGGGAGAGAACTGGAAAATATTTGATTTTTTTTTTTTTTTGAGGAAGATTAGCCCTGAGCTAACTGCTGCCAATCCTCCTCTTTTTGCTGAGAAAGACTGGCCCTGAGCTAACATCTGTGCCCATCTTCCTCTACTTTATATGTGGGATGCCTGCCACAGCCTGGCGTGCCAAGTGGGGCCATGTCCGCGCACCTGGGATCTGAACCAGCGAACCCCAGGCCGCTGAAGCGGAACGTGTGCATTTAACCGCTGTGCCTCTGGGCCGGCCTTCTTTATTTATTCTTCTTTATTGCTTTCTTTCCTTTAGGATTTTGTTAATGTTACTTTTATACTTTCTTTAATTTAAAAAGATAAAAATTATTATTCCAATCAAAGCATATAATTCGTTTTAGACATCCATTGTTTTCACTACTAGATGACACCTGCCAATGAGCAGCACAGAACCGTGACATTTCAGTCAGCTCTAAGGTGCTCCTTGCTACCGAAGTGGATGCTTACTTAGGAGCACTGCTTACCTCGATGGGAATCACTGGTGTGGACTGTTCCTTCACCCGCGGTGATCGCCTCTACTCCCATTCCAGCCAGACCTCTAGCACTCTAAAATCACATCCCGGTGGAGTGAGAGAGCAGGTCCCACAGGACCGCAGGTCTGGGGGCTTGGATGGGGGAGGGGCTGGGGGAGCAGCTGCAGGTGGGAAGCCCTAGGCAGTGGGTCAAGGATGCAGATCGGCAGGGATGGGGAAGGCCAGCTGTGTGCTCTGGTCCTGCCTCTTCCTCTTTCCTTTGCCCTCTGTCCTTGGCCCCACTTCCTTCTCAGGCTCAGATTTCTGCTAAGGAGCACCTGTCAGCCAGGGGCCTTTGATCACCAGGTTTCTTCAAGGCTAAGATTCCCCAACTCCAGTGGAGTTTTCCCCACCGCCCTGGCCCACTCCACCTACAGTTCCCTCCTTCTCTGAGAAGATGTTTCCAAGAACCCAGACCCTTCCTCCGCCCACTCCTCCCCCCCACCCCCCCATATGAAATCCTTTGGGTCAGAGGTGATTTCTGCCTGATCAGAGACAGGCCTATTGGGTCAGGGCATTTGCATAGGATGAAAACAGCCAAGAAAGACATAAAGTGTGGTCCAGTGACCACTGAACTTTTTATTGGCCTACTGCTCCCCAAAGGGTACCCTGCTTCTGTGGCCTCAATGCCTCAGAACTTTGGTGTCGTTGATCTCGGACACCACTCTGCCATCCACAATCCTGCGGGAGGTGATCTTCTGGATGGTTTGTGAGGAGCTGCTGCTGTCCAGGGCGTCGCCGAGACTGTGACAGAAGACCAGGCCCCGGTTATAAGTAGCCCCACACAATAGAAAGGAGATGAGGAAAGTGGAGGAAAAAAGCTTCCTTATCCCCCCGCCTTGACCTTGAAGTTCCCCTTTATTCCTCCATAAAGGGGGAGGCAAGGCCAAACTCCATTCCTGCTCTGTGTATGGCTAGAGGCAATACTTATCTGTCCTCTTCTCCAGAAGGGAGCCTCTGTACCTGTTACTCCCTTGGAGACACAGAGGCAAGCACAGAGCCCTGGTCTAATGCTCAGCGGATACCAAAGAACAGGCACATGGGGGGCTTACAAAGGCTCAGGAGTGTGGGTGTGTGGGTGAGAGGAGGGTCCCACTTACCTGAAGTCCTCCCCGGCTTCCAGCAGGCGGCGATAGGTGGCGATCTCAGCCTCCAGCTTGACCTTGATGTTCAGCAGGGCTTCGTACTCTTGGGTCTGGCGTTGGCCCTCTGCCCGGGTCTGGGCCAGCTCAGACTCCAGGTGCCGCAGGATCTCATTGAGCTGCTGCATCTGCATGGCGAAGCGGGCCTCCACCTCCCTCAGGTTGTTCTCCAAGCTGGCCTTCAGATTTCTCATCGAGTTCAGGTCGATCTCCAAGGACTGCACCGTGTGCCTCAGCTCCTTGAGTGTGGCCTCAGCAGTGCCTATCTCCTTGGTCCGCGTGGTGACCACTATGGTGCTCTCCTCAATCTGCAGGGTGGGCACGGTCCTTAGGTCCCTCCTTCTGTCTGCCTCCCTCCCACACCCTCGGGCCTCTGCACCTAGCTTGGCATCCATCCCTTCCCCTTGTGCACCTGCTGGGACCAGTACTTGTCCAGCTCCTCTCGGTTCTTCCGAGCCAGCTCTTCATACTGGGCTCGGATGTCTGCCATGATCTTGCTGAGGTCCTGAGATTTGGGGGCATCCAACTCCACAGTCAACCCAGAGTTGGTAATCTGGTTCTGAAGACTCTTCACTTCCTAAAGGAGAGAGGGACAAAGTGAGGGGGGGCTCAGGCTCAGAGCTCAGTGGGGCTCTTTACCTGCGACTACCTCTTCCAGGAGGCCCTCAAGATCAGTGGGAGAAGAGAACAGAGGAAACTCTTGGCTTTGCACTCCGGGCAATGCCAGTCCTGGGCGTTCTACTCCAGATGGGTACAATGCCACCCACTCACTGCCCGTGCCTGTCACTCACAGGTGGTTTGTCTCTCCTCACTTCACCCTATCCCTCCATCTATCCTCCTTCCACAAACCTGCTCCTTAGACCTTCTTCCACGAAGCCCTGCCAGCTCCACTTGCCCCCACTCCTCCATCACCTTGCTCCCAGGACTGGCTGCTGCTACCCCTGTCCCCATCTCATTCTCTCACCCATGTCCTCTTGACTTCATCATGCTGTAATTCAGGTGACCCACTGAGTACGGGAACAGTCAGAGTAAGAAGAGCCTAGGCTGGTAGTTCTAAACTTCCCTGCAAGGGTACTTGCTGGTGGCCTGCCCCATCAACTTCCCACCCAGACTTGTCTTGGCCCCTGGTTGCTGGCCTGGCCAGTGTCCCCTGCTTGCCTCCTCGTGGTTCTTCTTCATGAAGAGCAGCTCCTCCTTGAGAGCCTCGATCTCTGTCTCCAGCTGCAGCCGAGTGACATTGGTGTCATCAATGACCTTTCGGAGCCCATGGATGTCACTCTCCACAGACTGGCGCATGGCCAGCTCCGTCTCATACCTGTGGGAGTGGAGGTGATCAGAGGGGCCCCATCTCCGATCCAGAACCTTCTCAACCCATGCCACCCCAGAATAGCAGCCCGGTGCCCACTGCAAACCAGCAAGCCAAGTCACGAATCAGGTGCTAATCCTCTGGACGCTGTTCTTGGCACTTGGGGGACAGTAATCTTAAACTGGGTTACATGAATGAATAAAGCGATGGAGCCTAACTCTCATCCGCCCAGCTCTGCCCCTAGATGAACAAGATCTCACGGTGAGCCCCTAACCAGTGAGCCCCTAACCGACCCACCCTAGGGAACAGACCACTCTTATTCTTAGCTCCACCCCCAGCCCCTTAGCCCCCCAACCTTACTTGACTCTGAAGTCATCAGCAGCAAGACGGGCGTTGTCAATCTGCAGAACGATGCGGGCATTGTCCACAGAATTTGCAAAGATCTGGGGGGATTGTAGAGAGAGGTTGCTCCATGAATGGGAAGTCAAGGATGGAGTGGGCTGAGCGTGTAGAAGGCCTTACGTTATGTGTCTCAGTGGAAACTTCCTGGTCCCAGGAGTATCCAGAGGCTCTCCTTATACCCCTATCTCTTTCCACCTCTGCCCCTCACACTGTCCCTCCTTTCCTGGAGTCCCAAATCTCAGTGCTCCCACCAGCCTCCCACTGCCTCTCCTTTGGGCCTCTGCAACTCCTAACAACCACCTGGTCCTCTCCTGGTATTTTTCCCTAGTGCACCTCCTCACACCCCCACCCCCTGGATTGGCCCCTCCCACAGGTAGGCCTCCCAGATGACTCAGCCTTAGCTACATCCGTTTAACCCTCCAACTGTCCCCACTGGGCCAGATGCCAGAGTGTCTGGGTCCTCTTTATGGGCCTTTTCTGCCTCCACGCTACCTGCTGCCTGCAGAGCTCCTCTTTCTCTTTCCCACTGTCTCCTGGGAAAGGGCCTTCCCATGCCCGTCACCACCCTTGGGGTCCTTGTGGCCAGGGGTGTGTATGGAGACCCAGGGCATTCCTAATCCCCTTCCCCGGGAGTAGGGGGTGGGTGGAAATAGAAAGGGGGAAGGAGCCAACGCCCCCCCTTCTTAAAATTCCTATCCTTGGGGGAGGGGAGGAAGAGGGAAGGGAGTGGAAAAGCGGCGGGTCCAACACGGCAGGGAGCTGGGGCTACTCCCTCGGTGCCCCTTACCTGAGCCCTCAGCTCCTCAATGATCTTGAGGTAAGGCCCCCAGTCTCGGATCTGGGGCCCCTTCTTCTCCAGGTGTTCCCGGATCTTGCTCTCCAGTCTCCGATTCTCGGTCTCCAGACTCCTTACCCTCTCCAGGTAGGAGGCCAGGCGGTCATTCAGGTCTTGCATGGCCTCCTTCTCACTCTGGATGCCTCCTACGCCCACCAGACCCCCGGCCATCCCCGCGGCCAGACCCCCGGCCATCCCCGCGGCCAGACCCCCGGCCCCCCAGCTGCCCCGGAAGCTGGAGGAGCGGGACACGGAGATGCGGGAGCCCGAGCCCCCGGCGCCTGCATAGACGCTGGCCGCGCTGCTGACCGGCGGGCCCCGGTGGCTGGGCGACTGCACGGAGCCGAGGGACCGGTAGTTGGTGGAGAAGGTGGAGCGGGTGCTGAAGCTCATGTTGTTCGCGCGGGAAAGCGAGAGGCCGGGACTCAGGTTCTGGCCGCGGTGGGGGCCAGGTTGGCGACTCGAGTTATATCGCTGGGGGAGGGGGTGGGGACCGGCCAGGAGGCCCCGCCCCCGGAGTCGGAGAGGAAGCCTGGCGACAGGTGGGCTACCGGGCGTGGCCGGTGGGGGGGGGGGGGGGGACGGTGTCCAGCCCTCGGTTCCGGGCCCTTGCCAGCCTGCCCCCGCCCCCTCAGCGCTGCCCTATCGAGGCCACCCTTGGCCCCCTCCCCAGGGGTGAGTAACTAGGACAGGCAAGGGCAGCAGGTGGTTTCAGGGTAGGAAGTGACGTTATTCTACCCCTCTCCCCCAGGTAGAGGAGCTGCTGGCAGGTTGAGAATTTGGGGCTTTTGGGGGGATGAGCGAGTGGAGTCGGGTGTGAGTCCCCGTAGCTGTCCTCAGCCTGCAGCCCAGGTTCCCACCTGCAGAGGGGACCTTGGGGGAGCGGGATCCTGGAGTCTGGGGAATCCTGGGGAAGAAAATTGGGGGCTGGAGAAGAGGAAGAGAAACTCAATCTGAGCCTCACATCTACTGGTTTACACACTCGACCCCCACCACACTTGGTCCCTACCTGCACAGTTCACTAGCACACACTCACACCTATTGCATAGACGTGTGTTGTGGAACATGCAGGAACACATCCCCATGCCCCCTTCTCTTCCCCTCGACTCAGGCGGATGGAGGGCTGACCTTGGTGGAAGACTTTGTAATTCGAACAGGGGACACGTCCTCACTTCTGCACACCGTGTGTCAGCCTTACCTACACCCCTGTGTAAACAGATACTCCCTGAGCACTTGCACTTCCCCAAGTGTTTGCTAGGCACCTCCCGTGCATCAGGCTCTGTTCTAGCTGCTGAGAGGACAGCAGAGAATGAGAGGGAACTTCCTCGTGAAGATTGTAATATGTCCCACATGGCTTAAGAGGACAGACGCCCACTAGAAACGTTCCAGCTGGGACTCAGCCCTGGTGGCCAGCCCCTCCCCCTCCTTACTAGGACTTTTCTCCAGGCCCCCTCCTTCTCCTGCCTCTCCTCCTAAGGCTTTCTGGATCCCAAGCCTGTCCCCAAGGGGCTGCCTCCTCCAGGAAGCTCAGGTCAGGAGAGAGGTGAGAAAGATGGAGGTAGGGAAGTTCCCACTGCTCCCTGCATTTCTGAGGCTGGATGACCACCCCCTGCTGAAGGAGTTGGGGGAACCTGGAGGTGCTGGGCCTTCAAGTCTGCCACCATCAGTAGCTTGTTTTTCCAGCAGGGCCTGGCATTACACGCTTGTCTGTGCTCTTTGCTCTGGAGTGGACCTATCGATCCTTATCGAGCTGCCAGCTGAACCGAAGAGGCGGGGGCAAGCAGGAGGGCAGGTCTGGAGGGGAAGGGGCCCTGGAGTAGCCTGGCCAGTAGACCAGCCGGGGGGCTGGCCGGTGGGGTTGGGGGGTGCAGCTCAGATGTGGGGCTTACCCCTGAATTGTCCCAGGCCTGCTGCCTTCTGGTGGGGAAAGCCCCACAGTACTCAATGGGAGCTGGCCAGGGGACAGTCAGGGCCTGCTGAAGGCCAAACGGCAAATGGGATGCAAAATAGCACACAAATGAGTGCCCACTCGTTTTTGCATGGCAGGTTCCTGGGAGATTAGAGGTGCCGCCAGTCAAAGGGGCTTCTCTTGCTTTCTGCTTCACATTCCCCCACTGGGTTCCAGAACTGTCATGTGCAGAATTGCGCAAGAAGGTGTATCGATTAAACACACGATGTATTGCCTTTGCTGCTTTTGCTAAGCTTGAAGCCGACCAATTTGGGTCCTCTGCTAGCTGTGTGACCTTGGGGAAGTCACTTAACTCTGAACTTCAGTTTCTTCCCTTGTCAAGAAGAGTAATAAAGCCTGTCCAGTCTATTTCCTTTGGTGGCAGTGGATACGAGTGGTATCACTCACTCATTCATTGAACAAACACTAATACTTGCCGCAGAGTGAGTCTCCCATCCATCCAGGAGGGCAGAGGTGGGGGTCAATTTAATTGTAAAGAGGGCTCAAGGATGGAAGGTCTCCCTCTAAGTCACTTAAGACCCCCAGGGGACTTTGAATTCCACGAGGGAGGGATCAGGCCCAGATCCCAAGATTCTTGTCTAAGCTGTTTCCCAGATCCTTCTCTGGTCCCTGCCCCACTCCAACTGCTCAGGAACTTTTGGGGCCTGTAGAGGCTCAGTCCAGGCTTAGTCTGGGGGCGGAAGGGGGAGAGCTGCCCGCTGGGTCTTATCTCCGATAGCTGATGTCAGTGGCCACATTCCTGACCTCTTACAGCATCAGGGCAAATACCAACCTCAGGCTTCCAGCACCAGCCTACCTTTTCCACCACTGCCAGATTTTTCTGTGGTTCTGGGCATTTTCACCCTGGGGGCCTCTGGGAGAGCTGGGGAGAGGGGCATGAGGGAGGAGTTTGGCCCCCAGATTCTAGCAGAGGAGTTTGCATTTCCAGATTCTCAGCACTGGGGCTCCGGGTCAGGGTGGGAGGCGTGGCGGAAAGGGGAGTGGATGACTGTGAGGCTCGGCCTGGGAGAAGGCGGAGCAGGGGGGCCCTGGCAGAGGCGCCCGGAACAAAGAGACCCAGCAGAGGGGTCCTGAAGCATCCCCGCCCCCATCCTGCCCCGCATTCCGGTGTCCTGCTGAGGGGGAGCTGGGAACCTGAGAGGCAGGTTTAACTTCTGAGTAAACTCCGAGATGACCCTGATAAGGGTGGGTCAGCTCTGCCTCCCCCTCCCCACATTCTCGTGCCGAGGGCTGGAGCCAGGGCCCTGGGGAAGCTAGATGGCGGGAGATGAGAGGATTGGGGAGGATTGTGAGGGCCTGCAGTCTTTCAGGCTTCGCTTTATCACTTAGTCTGGAAATTTCTTTCTCAATCCTGAGGAGGGAGGTGTTCAGAATAGCACCTGAGGTGTGAGGATGGGGGTTTATCGCCCTCACAGGGAGGGGCTGATTCTTATCATCTTAGAAGGATTGGGAGTGACTCCAGAAAGGACTTCCCAGAAGTGTGAGTGTGTGTTGGAGAATGTGAGAGGTCCCTGAGGTGAGGAGGTGGGGGGTTGGAGGCAGCAAGGTAGCTGAGAGGATGGCCTGGGAGGCTCCCCTCAGTGGACGGCCCAGCATGTGCCAGTGGGCCTCCTGCAGGAGGACCCCAAGGCCACTGAGTGAGGGACGAGGAAGAGAACAGAGGGAGGGAGGGATGGTGCAGGATGGAGGGAAAGGAGCCTGGGGCAAGGTGGGACTCCCTCCTGCCAAGCCCTGCAGTGGCACGTAGAGGACCTCTGTGAATGACTAAGATTTAAACGATTAACGAAAAAGGGGTGCTGGGAGAGGCTGGGGCCAACAAATATGGTTAGGTGGGCTGCAGAGGCAGGTGGGAGGATGGGGGCTGCAGCCGGCTTGGGTGCAGGACCCAGTTGGAATCTCTCAAGACTTTGGGACTCTCTCTGGAGGTGCCCCTGCCCCGTTTGGAGGCCCTGGTGCTGCCTGTCCAGTGTGCAGTGGAGGAGGGCTTCTGAGGGCTCAGGCCAGGCGCTTTCCCCAGGGCTGGGAAGGCCAAAGAATACTCTGGCACTTTGATATCATTGCTTCCGTTGGGTTTGTTCCCAAAGGGATCAAGGAAGGAGAGATCAGCACGAGGAGCACGTGGCTGCCCAGGAATCTCCAATGCTGAGGCTCAGAGAGGATTCCTGGGAATTTGACCCTTCTACTAGCCCCCCCCCGCCCCCCCCCCAGTTCCCTGGGCCTGCCTGCAGCCCCCTCTGGTGCAGCCAGTTCTCACCCACCAGGAGAGGCCTCTTCCGTTCTTATGACCTCTGCCCCTCTGCCCCCAGTGCTCCTGGTCTCTCTTCAGGTACAACCCCATACCTCAGTGCCATCTCCCCAGCCTGTCACCTCTTTCCAATCTGCTGAGAGGTGGGGGGGGGGGGGTGGCGCATAGGGATGAGGCACTTGCTGTCAAAAGACCTGGGTTCAAGGTCCCACTGCTGACTGGGCGACCTTGGTCTCCTTGGCTGTAGAATAAGGAGAGCGGCTACAGCTACCCTGAGAGTTTGCATGAGGGTGGATGAGATCTGTCTGGGGAGCTTCGGCGGCGGAGAAGCTGATTGACTTCCTTTCTTTCCAGTTTCCCCCATCTGCTTCTTTCTTCCCAGTCCCCCTGTTTTGCTATCACTACCTTCTAGCCTTCTGCTCCCTGCCCTCACTATTTCTTTCCTTTCAAACTGGGCACAGGGCAGAGGCAGCTAAGACTGAGTCTATGGAAAAAGAAGTGAGATGGAAAAGCAGAGTGGCTGAGAGCCTCTCTCAAAATCATCCCGCCACTGGCCGTGTCTCTGTCAGTCTCTCTCCTTCGGCTTTGGCAGATCTGCCAGCAGTGTCTGGGGGAGCTGTCCTGTGAGCAGCTGGAAAAGCAAGACTACAGCTTGGGAGAGGCACGGGGTAGGGGATGCAGCATGCAGGGCCACGGCCAGCCCTTAGGGCCTTTGCACAAACTGGAAAGAGCCAGCCTCCTCTGCGTCTCCTTGGCCTGGCGCCCTGGTGCACTGACTGACAAGCACAGCCAGGTGTGATGGCCCCGTCTGGAGCTGTCCACCTAGAGGATTTGGGGGAGGCCCTGGTGTGGGCGACATGGCCCGAGGAAAAGGATCAGACCAAAGAAGTGGGCAGAGTCTGCACGGAGGGACCTAAAGCAAGAAGAGGAGGAAGAGAGAGGGAAAAGAAAGGAGAAAGGAGGGGAGGCCCAGAATCCTGCCAGCTGCAGGGAAGAGACCAGGAGAGAGAGGTGTCATGAAAGCCAAGGAGAAGCAGTCTGAAGGAGGGGCAGTCCACCAGGCAGATGCACAGAGAGGGCAAGGAGGCTGAGGACAAGAAGAGCACTTCCGGTATAGTGATGGACACTGAAGCCCGGCGGTGGGAGGCTGAGGAGTGAGTGGTTAGTGACAAAGTGGAGGCAGAGCATAGACTTTCTTTCAAGAAGCTTGTCAGGG